TATTTCTGTTCTTTATCCAATCGAACAATAGTTTACAAGGGGATGCTTCGCTCAGAAGCTCTGGGGTTATTTTATTCTGACCTTCAAAATGATCTTTATAAATCCCCCTTTGCCATTTATCATCGAAGGTATAGCACAAATACTAGTCCCAGATGGCCTCTTGCACAACCAATGAGACTTCTTGGTCATAATGGAGAGATCAACACCATACAGGTTGAGCTCATTTTTGGCATTAAAATCTTCCCATGGAATTTTACCTCAGAAGGATTTATGAAATGGCTACATGTATGTTGTGCAGGGGAATTTGAACTGGATGCAGTCACGAGAGCCTTCGTTGAAGTCACCTGTATGGCGAGGTCGTGAAGATGAAATTCGTCCATTTGGAAATCCAAAGGGATCAGACTCAGCAAATCTTGACAGTGCTGCAGAAGTATGTCAATTACTCTATATAACGTTATTAATTCATTCTGCTAAAGCATCTTGATGATAATGATTCATTTAAAATTAGTTGTTGAAAAGATATATGATCCTCATACTCTTACACTTTTATTTAGGGGTTTCATTGTCTAGTCTAATCTAATTGTATGAAACTTCAAGATATCCAAGTTATTAGGCTAAGACTTTGATCGTGGTGCATGCTTTTGTATGAACTGAAATACTGAATACAGTTATTATAATACTTTTTTGATATAGTAAGGTCTCATGTAATCCTGCTGTCTGTGCTATGTCTTTTTCTCTTATAGATCTTAATAGATAAAATAATTTTTCGAATTGCTTTGAAGCCTTGGAAATGGCTTTCGCCTCTCTGCCATTTTTGTTAAGCAATTGTTTTTTTTAACGACAAATGTTAGTATTGTTAGTATTATGATGCGGGTGGGGATTGAACCCTTGACCTTTTTATCATTCCACTCCTCCACCCCAACCACGAATCCAATCTTAACTCCTCTTGTTCAACAATTGATCTGTGTGGTTTTTTTTGATGTCCTTGAATCCTTTATTGTGTAATTATTTTAAAGGATATGGTTGGAATAAGTAGAGCAAATTATTTTGACCACAAACTTTGTTGAGAATCCTACATTGGATGGTGGCATGACCCAAATAGTGGTTATAAACAGGACCTTACAAATTGATTTTGTGGCGTTGAGTTAGTCCCAACCCAAATTCAAAGATATTTTTAGAGCCTATCCTATATTGATTGAGCCACCCATTATCGAGTCATTGGGTCACACTTTAGATGTCTAATCTGGAGCATAAGTGGGGTGTGTTGAGAGTCTCAAGTTGGATGTTTGCACATGATTTATTGGGAAAGGAGCTAGTTGATAGTTTCTTTAAAAACTTAATATCCAATAGTACTGAGCGTGAGGGGTGGAGGTATTTTGGAAAAACCAAGTCTCAAATAGATTAAAGATAGACTCTGATACGAGTTTATAAAAAGAGACACCCCTTATCTTTTAGGCCGGTTTTGTAGGGTTGAGTTAGACCTAATATAAAAACTTAATAGTTTCATTTGAGGACTTCCAGAGGGATAGGTGAGTGGGCTCTTTAGAGTTACTGATCTTTTGTTCATGTGTTTTATTTGTCCGGTTTGTTTGCTCTAGGCAGATCTTTTATCCTTATTTGTTTCTGTCACTTATTTTTGTTGAATGTTTTTATTATTTTATCAAAATAAAATACTATCTCCGTTCCCTTTTCATAAACACCCTTTTGTAGTGCAAAAGGGGCTTATAAATTATAATACAGGACAGTGGTAGTACCATCAAATAGAAAAACTGAAAACAAGATAATGATGGTCCACTTAGCAGGGGTTATTCTGAATATATTTTCTCATCATTTTTTATTTTATTTACCGACTCTTTCTCCCTCTTTATCTGTTGTATTTTCTACTTTATGATTTACAAATTCCTCATTTGTACTGTTTAGCGAGCCCTCTGTTTTTGAGATTTTTTTCTGGGCATCAAGTTTTTGTGAGACCTTAGTCATGTTTATATCTGAATCTGACTGGTCTCATATGGTTCAGTTATTAATAAGAAGTGGTCGAAGCCCTGAGGAGTCCATGATGATCCTTGTTCCAGAGGCTTACAAGAATCATCCAACACTGACAATTAAATACCCTGAGGTATTTCTTTCCTCTTTCTTTTAAGTAATTAGTGCATTATTTGCACATTTATGCTTAGTGTCCCCATTTCATGATTATATATTCTCAGTTAAAGCATGCTCTATCCACTTCATTTATCAAGATAAAAACACATGCTCTTCGGTCTATCGTATACCACATCTCATATTTGCTAGAGTACTGTATTTGCTTATCAAATAATACAGAAAAATTGCAGAGAGATTCCTCGTGCAGTTGGGAAGAGTGGTATTAAGGGCAGATAGTTGTTCATCGGGGCAAGCCTATAATCCGTCCTAAAAGTATGGTATATGGCGTTACGGCCTATAGCCGAGACATGACAATTACAACGGGAATATGATATACTCCCTCCTTAAATATAAGCAAAAAAAGGCACATGTATTTGATCCAAATTTGGTCTAAATACAATACCACCTTGCTTATATTTAAGACCAGAAGGAGTATACATAAAAAGTCTACTAAAATACTGCAGAATTTAATAAATTAAAAAGAACTAATAGCCTATTTCTAACCAGTGAACCAAAAATATATTGCAATAAATGAAACTAACCAAAACTATCATTATTAGAAGCCCTTGTACGACTGAACTAAGATGACAGACTCACAGAGAAAGAAAGAAATATGGCAAAGATGAAAAAGAAATAGAGATAGACCAAGGATTATAGAACAGAACAGGGGAGGCAAAACATGGTTTGAAAATAGGAAAATGCATAAAAAGGAAAGGAGGAATAGAACGGGTTGACCATACAAGACATGCAATTTGTTGAAAATTGATCATTTACTGGAAAAGAGCCACTTTTCAGAATGCTTTTTTAATTCTCATGCAATTTGTTGAAAATTGATCATTTACTGGAAAATTGATCATTGTTGAAAATTGCATCTTATCATATCTTACAAAATGCTTTTTTAATTCTCAGGCAGTTGACTTCTATGACTATTACAAGGGCCAGATGGAAGCATGGGATGGACCCGCCTTGCTTTTATTCAGGTATAAAGATGAAAACAAATCCAGTGGAACATGTTTGCATTGTTGGTACATCACTTTGTTGATTTATCCTAATTAATACGACCCGACTTTAAGAATATTGAGCAGTACTAGGGTTCAACATTGCTAGAAAATGAAAGATTGTCTTGAGAATTAGACGAGAGAATGCTGTCTGATTCTGATCACTACTTTTATTGAATGAAAAACTGATTACAACTGATGTACAAATACTTATAGAAGACTGTCTAACTCGCTAGATAACTCTCCGACACACATTAGTTGAGTATAGCTGTCAGAATCTGACTTATCAAGCTACAACGCATCAAACAAACCAACTCAGAACTGTTACTGGAAACTTCAATATTAACTAAACAATTGATGATAAGAAGTAGCTCTACAGCAAAGTTACTATCTAACTATGCCCTAACTTTATGATAGTGGCAGTAAACAGAAGTACAACTCGTGTACATACTCTGATACTCTATACAGTATTGTGTTTACTGGAATAGAGAAGCTGAGGGGTCGATGAAATTTTATCCAGTTTGATTCTTGATTTACAGTATTCTTTCATGAAGGAATTGTACTAGATACAGGTTGTATCCCACTGTTTGACAAAATTTTATTTATGTTTTTTGGCTAAATGATTCAAAATAGCTTGCTATGCGTATGGGATCACAGTTTATGAATTGTATTTTTATTACATCATCCAAATATTTACCTTTGTTACAGCATTGTTTATAGAAAAACACTGTTAAATTGAATATTTACCTTTGTTCTGCTCACTGTCATTAGAAAACAGTTTGTCCATTGTTTAATAAATTAACCTGAAGTTAATAGCCAGAGAACTTTTTTCAATATTTTCTCTAAGCTTTTATTTTTCTGTGAGTGTTTGTAATCCTATTTATGTGTCACAGTGATGGAAAAACTGTTGGTGCATGCCTTGATCGGAATGGACTTCGACCTGCTAGATATTGGCGAACATCAGACAATATGGTCTATGTTGCTTCTGAGGTGAAGTCCCTAACTTTTATCCCTTGACTAATATGGTTGATTTAAAAAGTTGTATGATTTCATTGATCAGATGACAACTCTACTTTTCTGATTCTAGAACTTATAGGAGATAATGTTGTTTTGGGCTGCATATGGGCTTTGAAAATGAAAAGCCAAGATCTTATAAAATCAATTTTATCGAATCTTTTATTATCTAAGCTTAGCATTGTTTTGATACATGGAAACCAAAGGCTGTTTAGCCGCTTTTATTAGTTGCCTTCTGAATAGCATCATTATAATTTTTGTGTTGATTATAGCCATAATTAGAAATATTCTCTATTTAACATCGTTGATACAAATTCCTTAGATAATTAATTTTCCTTATTTTCAGAATTTTTCTCTTGTATATATATTTGTTCATCCCCTTCGTGTAATGTAAGTTGACCATCCTAAACTATTCAGCTGTTTGCTTTAACTTGGCTGCTATTATAGAGTTACAAATGTTTAGATTAAACAGAGACTAATATTTGCACGTGTTGTAAATAATTTGTATTTGTAATCATTAGTAATAAGTGTATTCCGTTCATTAATAGGCCCATTAGGTTTAGAATAGTCTATTTAAACAAATTAATGCATGTATTTTATTCACAACTTAGAAGAATATTCAGATATATTTTCTACAACATGTATATAGTATAGACAGACACTCAAGGGCAAAATTTCAGATATTAGTTTTCTGATATTTCTTCTGTTCTTTTCTCTATGCACATCCTGTAAGTGCTGGTCTTTTTTTTTCCCTTTGCTTCTGATGTCTTTTTATCTGTCTTAACTCAGAATATTTAAATCTAATTATTTGGTCACTTTAAAAATGTGATTTTGAATGCTGCATCTTTATTACTAATATATGTAGTAATGAGAGTCATTATTATGAAGTCAGTGATTTAGTTTGATGACTTTCAGTTATAGGATTTAAGATATAATGTTTTTTTCCCATTCTCTTTTAGGTTGGTGTTGTACCAATGGATGAATCAAAGGTTATCTTGAAAGGCCGATTAGGTCCAGGCATGATGATAACGGTTGATTTACTTGGTGGTCAGGTTCGGACTGCAATTTTTTCTTGTCTTGGTTATCACACTTTTGAACATCGACATATTTTATCTTGTAATTGATGTTTGTTCCTGCATATATGAGTATTATTTATTTAGATATTTATCCAACTTAGAGTTTTCCTTTTATTTGGTGCATTGTTTTGTGTGCCCCAATGTGAACAACACATTGCCTCTCCATTTATAATTATAACTCTGTTGATACTGGAATTTCGTTTATCAAGTCAAGATTTATAGTTATAGATTACAAAAAGTGTAGGGGGGTCATAGCCCTTTAAAAGAAGAAGAAAAACTTAGTTGAGATCTGAGTACTACATCATATGAATAAGTATAAAAGATGTAAGGGTTTCTTTTGAAAGCTTATAAATGGAAGTTTCATTAGCCGTCCCAAAAATCTCACTCAAGAACAGGTCATCTGATGTCATTTTATGTCACATTGGATAATTATGTCTAGTAGTTTACTGATAAAATTATTTATATTATTTGTAAGATTGCATTAATATATGGTGAGTGTCACAATCTATTAGAGACAAGTTTCCGTCTTATGCCATTCATTGCTGTATTATATTAAAACAATTGTTTGTAGTATGGGCATGTTTTTCAACGAAACCCACAGCCCAATATAGTGTCCTAGCTTTCTTCTAATTCTTTTAGAGCTAGCTTATTGCTGTAACTATTTCTGTTATTCAGTCTCAGTATAAATACTAAGATTCAGCTGTACCCCTCAGTTCAGATCTAATGCATTCAAGGAGATAAGGGATTAAAGGAGTTAAGAGATTAAAGATCCAGGGTTCGAATCCTGGCAAGGGAGAAAATACTAACATAATTAACATACTAACATTTGACATTAAAAAATGGCTCTAATGCTTTCAATTTACATTTTCTCTGATGTTCTCTCTCAATTTCTTCCCTTCTGAATTTCTAATACAGTCCGTGATTCCAATGTCTTAAATTGTGGATGTCGATGCCTGTGCTCTTGTATGAGAACATATTTTGTTTTCCGAACAATATGCTCAATTTTCATGTTCAAAAGGTTGGATGTTCTGTTTCATGGGCTTAATTCACTTTCAAAACCTTTTTTGTGGCAGGTCTATGAGAATATGGAGGTTAAAAAACGAGTAGCCTTATCAAACCCATATGGAGACTGGATCAAGGAAAATCTGCGGTCTTTGAAGTCTGGGAATTTCCTTTCATCCTCTGTGATGGAGAATGATGCAGTATTAAGACACCAACAGTGAGAGTTCTATGTAGATTTTGCTCTTAGTTTATATCTTTGATGAGGGAATTTGTGTTTTGAAGTGTTGATATTTTCAATCCCATAAGTCTCATTACTTTACTCACTGTAATTGTGTTAACATTCTGTGTGCTTCTTATTTGCTTTCTAGTTTTTTATGAGGATTAAAAATTTGGTTTTGATTGAAAACCGTGATTTAAACAATAACCCGCTCCCTTTTTAAAGTAAAATATTCTTCTCTAGGTTGTAGGTAAAGGACCTTTATTTATAGTGTCCCCCTGTTTTACAGTATCAAGTTCATTGAATTGAGGCTGCTTCCTCTGATGTAATGTTGAAGTTTTATAAACTAATGTTCTATGACATGTTGATGGGAAAGTGGGTTCACACTTCATTTCAACTTGCAAGATACCATCTTTTGTGGTTCTTTGTGATGTAATGAATGTTAGGCTAATGTTCTATAGCATGTTGATGGGAAAGTGGGTTTGCTCTTCATTGCAGCTTACAATGCAACATCTTATATGGTTCTTACTTAACCGCTCTTTGGTGAGACCAGGGCATTTGGGTACTCCAGTGAAGATGTCCAGATGGTGATTGAGAGTATGGCTTCTCAAGGAAAGGAACCTACATTTTGTATGGGAGATGATATTCCATTGGCAGCGTTATCTCAGAAACCTCACATGCTTTTTGATTACTTTAAGCAGCGGTTTGCACAGGTAAGCAAGACCACTTTCCTACAATTTATTCTGCAAAGTAATTCCCTCTCTTCCAAAGATTCCTCTTCACAAAAAGATTACTCATACACAATATAACTAACAACTGTATGATTTATTTTCTCTATCCTTATTTCTCCCATTTTTACTTGGTTACTCCTCTATATAAGCATGCGTGCGCCCGCACTCCACACACACACACATATAATACAAACACTCTGTTTGCTCTGTTGGTGTTACACAAGAATTTGTTTTAGAATTAGGGTTTGATGGGATTAGAATAGGAAGTATTGGGATGTGTGGGTATGCAGTGAGGTTGTAGTTCTATGTTTAAAAGAGACGCCATAAGACATCTTCTGAATATTGTTTTGAACAAAGAGAGCGACTATTTATATACCACACATGAATCTGGATCTGACTGGACTCTCAATTGACCAATTTAAAGAATTTTTATTAACTTTTGGGTTACATATTAAATTCCTAAATTTAAAGTTGAACTTGCCTAGGCTTCAGTAACTTATCAAATACGGTAAAGCTTCATTCTGTCGTAGTTAAGAATTTTACTAGTTTTTATTTTATTTTATTGACGTTTGCATGTGATATCTTTTTTATGCTAATAGGTTACAAATCCTGCAATTGATCCACTTCGAGAAGGGTTAGTTATGTCTCTTGAAGTAAATATAGGGAAAAGAAGGAATATATTGGAAATAGGACCAGAGAATGCTTCACAGGTATTTTTGCATACATCGGTAATGTTTGTTAGTGATAGTCAAATAGTACCCATGATTTTGATACCTTTTCCTTTACACGTGATGATGGCAGGTTATATTATCTAGTCCGGTATTGAATGAAGGGGATCTTGAGTCATTGTTGAAAGACTCCCACTTAAAACCACAAGTGTTGCACACATTTTTTGATATAACTAAGGGGATTGATGGTTCCTTGGAGAAAGCATTAACTAAGCTTTGCGACGCTGCAGATGAAGCTGTTAGAAATGGTTCCCAGCTGTTAGTTCTTTCAGACCGATCAGAAGCACTGGTAAGAACAATCAAATAGGATCTTTACGTTTTTAAAGTGTATATATAAGAGCTTTCAAGGGCCGGGTAGAGTTAGATGTGATTAGTTGGTACATATTTCGTTTGATGATTACTAAACTTTATATGCTATTGTTAAGATCCAACTTTGGCTAAATATATGAATAATGCACTTCTTATAAAGACTTGGGCAGTTCTTCTCGAATGCACTTCAGAAGCACTGGTAAGAACAATCAAATGCACTTCTTATATGACCAATCCATTCTAGATTCTAGCATGGCATTAAAGTCTATACTAAATCTAATATTGGGCCATCCTTAGATGTTTAAACTTCCCATTCTAGATGTTCAACTTTGGGTGGGAGGGAAGTGTGTTAAGATCTCAAATATGCTAATAATGTGGTCATAGTGTTGTGTAGTTTTAAAGTCTAGGAAAATATTCCCCTAAGGCTAGATTTTTAGGATTGAGTAAGACCCTCACATCTATAACTCTGACTCTGAGGCATATCAACCTGCTCTAAGTCACTGTGCCTCCGCCCTCCCCTCAACTGAAACTTTTAATTGTGCTATTATCTTGGAAAATGAGATTTTACCAGAGAGAACAAAGGAAATTGAATATGACATTATTGCACGAAGAAATTCTATTAACACACTTTCTATACTCTATTTATGGGTGAAATTCTAGATGGGTCCACTAAATAACCAAGTCTCACTATTGGCAAAAGGCCTAAATGAGATTTTACCTAATAATAGAAAGAGTGTATCGTTAACATTTATTTCTCTTTGCACATGGATAAATATGCTTCATATTTTTGTTTATAATTTTGCATTTATAATGAAGCACGGCTCGTGTAGTCTCTCATTTTTAGATTGTTTGCGAATATGTGAAGTCCAACTACAATAGGCTAATTCTCAAAAAAAAAAAAACTACAACAGGCTAAATAATTAAGAGAGATTGAGTTAAATTGATTATAGTTGGACTTATTCATAGCAAGGACTTTCTAGTGTGGTTTGATCTATGTATTGCCTTCATCTAGCTGAAAAAAACACCAGTTGTTGTTATTCTTGTATGAAGTATGGATCATTACTGTTCTTGTGGATAGCCGCCAACTATCTTTGTACATTTAAGATTTCAATAGTATAGTTGGAACTTTGATTGACCTTTTGTGTGTGTGGCGGAGCTAATTATACAATACATTTTCTTGGTCTCAGGAACCAACTCATCCTGCAATTCCAATACTTCTTGCTGTTGGTACTGTTCATCAGCATCTAATCCAGAATGGTCTTCGGATGTCAGCTTCAATTGTAGCGGATACTTCTCAGTGCTTTAGCACTCATCAGTTTGCCTGTTTAGTAGGATATGGTGCAAGGTTATTCAATGCCTCTACTTAAGCCTCTGTTAGACTTGGTGTTTTAGTTAATCATGCCCCATTTAATTCCCTTTCCTCTACATTTTTTACCACGGCATGACATGTCTATTTGTTTGTTTTAGTGCTGTGTGTCCATACTTGGCACTGGAGACATGTCGTCAATGGCGTTTGAGTAATAAAACGGTAAATCTGATGAAGAATGGAAAGATGCCAACTGTATCAATTGAACAGGCGCAGAAAAACTACTGCAAGGTTAGTGCTTAATTTCAAACGACTATTCTGGATCCGGAACTGAAAAGCAATGTCTTTATTTTTAGCTGCTGTAATTGTGATGGCTATGTGCTACCCTGGTTATTTAGATTTGTTTTTAAAATAGTAGTCTTCAAGGACACAAAGGAAAGCTGCATCTGATTGAAACCCAAATTGAGTTTCGCCAATAGGCAATAGCATACTTAAATGGGTTAAATTCATTACTTAATTTTGGATGGGATCACAATGCCATTATAACATTATTAGGAAAAATGAAGAAATAGGACTCCGAATGGTTATTGTTATGGTATGATGTGTGTTGACTGACAACACGCTAATCTTTTCCCTCCTTTACAATGTATATATTTTGTTTCACTGTTCTTCCAGTTAATGAATTCCTCTTTCATTATTATTATTATTAGGGAAATGCTAACGAGTGCCCCCACCTGAGGCACTCGTTAAGAGTTTAAAAAGGTATGTTTTGTTTATTATTATCATCTAAAGATAGCTAATGACTAATTTTGCAATTTTCCTGCATGACAGGCTGTAAAAGCAGGTCTTCTTAAAATTCTTTCCAAAATGGGCATCTCATTGCTTTCAAGGTACATGATTCATGCAATTATGATAATATAGGCATGAAATGTTATAGTCTCTAAACTTGAAATGCTGTCTCAATGGTTTACATGAAATTAATATTTTCTTAAATGTTTTGTTTACTTTTCTCATATTTTCTTACTGATGTCATGGTTTTGACAAATCTATTTATCAATTCCTTGTATATAGTTACTGTGGTGCACAGATATTTGAAATCTATGGACTAGGGAAGGAAGTTGTGGATCTTGCATTCAGCGGAAGTGTATCGAAAATTGGTGGATTAACTTTTGACGAGGTGAGCAAGAATACATAACTCAAGCCTATATGTGAAAATGAAATATTGCTACTAAACTATTTGAAGTAGAAGATTCTATTCAATATGAATAAATAATACCTTTCGTCAACAATATTATTGATATCACTCAATGCCCGTAGGTATTACAGCTAATTAAACAATGCTTGGATCACCATAATAGGACCTCTCTTCTCAAATGTGAATGTTTTCGGTATTTACCTAATATATTAAATTGGAATTTGGAAAGCTCAAAAATAATTGTTGACTCTCTCTAACAGAAACTGGATTTTGTAATTAAGTCTGCACTAGCAGCAAGAATAGCAGCTGGTTTTTGGGCGGAAAGTCTTGATATTTAATAATATTGCAGTATAGCTTCTTCAAAGTAGCTCATTTAGGACCAGTATATGACACATTCCTTTTATTGGTTCATTTTTTTCCTTCCAATTAATAGATGCTTGCCAAGGGAATTATGGATCTAGTGCTAGAATATATGAAAATATCTTATGACATCTGGTATTAGCAGTAGACAATTCAAATATACCTTTTGTTTGATCCTTTAGATATTAATGATGTTAATATGCATTATTATGTTAAATTAAGATTCATATCTTATCATTGTGAATTTCTGCACTGCAAATGTAGCACTCTTGGACATTGTGTTCATATGGATAATATAATTTGATATGTTACATTGAAAATAATACATTCTTGTTTAATATTTTACCTAATACCAAAGAATAATATGAAAAGTCGAGAGTTTAAAAGAGTACTAGCTGCTTGTATTTGGATATAGCGATTCTGGTTGTCTCTGAAAATTGTGCTATGGAAAGCAGTTGTGTATGATAACGAAATGGCGGGATGTACAACTTTATACACTATTTTTATATATCCACGATCTATCAATTTTTGTCAACATTTAACTTTACTCTCTGATGATTTCTTATCCTCCTTTATTGTACTTCTCATTTAGTTCTCTTGTTGAATTCTTCAATAAAACTTGTGTGTCTACTAAACTACACCATAAAGGTATATTATATAGACTAAAATTGATTTGTAATTTTAACAGATTACTTTGAATGACTCCTTCAAGGAGAATTTGAGGTTTGTGATGTAAACTTGCAAATTCAATATTAATTGTTAGACTTTTGATACTTACCTTCGGTCTTCTCTGGGCTTAAAATCTCACGTGTCAACACTCTTAAGGGAAATTATGCACTTTTTCTTTTGCTTAAGAATTTGTGAACAAAATTTATGAACCCTGAGTATCAGTGGAAAAATACACATGCTTTTGGAATTTACTATATGATGGAAATCATTTATAACAAAACTTCCCTCTTACTCCCTATGTGGCACAGCTAGCTAGAGAAACTTTATCTTTCTGGGTGAAGGCATTCTCTGAAGATACAGCTAAAAGATTGGAAAATTTTGGATTTATACAGTTTAGACCAGGAGGTACGAATTACTACTTAATCTGTTAGAGTTGAAGAATCAGTTGGACATTTTTGCATTGTTTTTGGAAGCACAGAATAACTGTTATTGTTCTATCGATGAAAGTGCATTCCAGTTAATATCCCTGGTGCATTATAAATTGACCGATTTTGATTTACATTCTTAAAGGCGAGTATCATGCAAATAATCCAGAGATGTCAAAGTTGCTCCACAAAGCTGTTCGTCAGAAAAGCCAGAATTCCTTTTCAGTTTATCAACAATATTTGGCTAATCGACCTGTGAATGTGGGTTCTAAAAATCACACTTCTGGACATTATTATTGATTTTAGTACAGCAGGAATATGTGAGATATCTTTTATTCGTTGCAGGTTCTCCGTGATCTTCTTGAGTTCAAAAGTGATCGTGCCCCCATACCTGTGGGGAGGGTTGAACCTGCTTCATCTATTGTGAAACGGTTTTGCACCGGGGGGATGTCCCTTGGAGCTATATCTAGAGAAACTCATGAAGCAATTGCAATTGCAATGAACAGAATAGGTGGAAAATCAAATTCAGGGGAAGGTGGTGAGGTAATATAATTGTCATCCCATTTAACTGTTGGGATAGATGTGTTCATATTCCGTATAGGCAATTTTTTGTTTCTTTGATTTTATCAACTTTTTAGTTTTTAATTCACCGTGATTTCTGTATATTACATTTAGGATCCTATTCGCTGGAAACCACTTACTGATGTTGTTGATGGTTACTCTTCGACTCTTCCACATCTTAAAGGTCTTCAAAATGGGGATACTGCTACTAGTGCTATTAAACAGGTTATTGCACTGAATTTTTAGAAAATAGCTTCATAAAATTTGTTGACTATAGCAAATTTGTCTTGTTTACTACAGAATGGTTAGGCTTTATTTACTCCTTCTATTGTCTAAATTGAAATGCTTTTCCATTTTATAAAAATCCTTATTGCACACAACTTCCCAAAAACTACCGTTCTCAGTTTCAAACAAAATAACATGATCTGATTTCTTTAGCCAATGCCTTTCAAAAACATGATTTTGATGTGATTCTAAAGAACTAGTGCCAACTTCGCCACTGTATTCTGTAACTGTGCACACTTAAATGAAAATTGTTAAAAAGAAAGGATCCGAACAAACTAATGTTATTCTTTGATTGTCTTGTGAATTAAAGAATAAACATCAATGAACATCAAATTTAAAATTTGTTCTGCATTCATGAACACTATTGTCAAACTCGGATCCTCAAATAATGTGGATAGTCTTCTTGTTCCCACTCATTCAAACCTAGGTGAAGAATGTGGAAATCTTTTGTGCTCTTCCTACAGTTGAATAGGCATGTGGGAAGCTCCACCAATGGTAGAACTTCCGACTTGTAAAGGCATTCCTGCAGTATTAACTTAATAGTTCAGATGCAAGAAGAAAATATAGCAAAAGTTAATTAGTTATAGATCCTGTCATACATATTGTTGGAGGGAGATACTAGGAGCATCAATACATAGTGTAGGAATAAGCACCTTTGTGAGAGGCACACCACTTATCCACCTAAAACCTTAAGGTGATAGGTGAGTGGGTTCTCCCACTTATATATGTTTAAGTCTCCACATTCCTATCCAATGTGGGACTATTTCCCCAGTTACACACACTTGCTATATTATTCCAACACATATTATATATTCTTTGGAGGTACATTTGATAGGCCAATAAGTATACATTATGTGTTATAAATTCATGATCTTATTTATTTCATAATCCAATTGGATACTAGTTAGCTTTTATAATAATTTTTTCTGGCTGATTTAGATTGTATTGATCTAAAACTGGCAGGTAATAGCTCTAGCCATATATTAATTATGGTGAACAATGGTAATCTTATAAAATATTTTTCCTTTGGATCAGGTTGCTTCAGGAAGGTTTGGTGTCACTCCAACATTCTTGGCAAATGCTGATCAATTAGAAATCAAAATTGCACAAGGTGCAAAGCCTGGTGAAGGTGGACAATTGCCTGGGAAAAAAGTTAGCATGTATATTGCAAGATTGAGAAACTCTAAACCAGGGGTTCCTCTTATATCTCCACCTCCTCATCATGACATTTACTCTATTGAGGATCTTGCTCAGTTGATATTTGATCTTCACCAGGTGACTCTCTTGCATGTCTATTCACTTGTCTCTTTTGAATGAAATCTAGTGCAATAGGGAAACATCTCCTTCGCTCACTGTTTGAACAGGTGAACCCTAGGGCCAAGGTATCTGTGAAACTGGTGGCTGAAGCTGGAATTGGCACTGTTGCATCTGGGGTTGCAAAAGGCAATGCGGACATTATACAGGTTTCTACCGTGGCCTGAAATCTATTTATGTTTTAGATGCATCTGTAGTTTTATTTTTCCGATATCTATGCTTCATTGCTTGTGAAGCATAACATGTCATACTGCTACCGACTTGCAGATTTCAGGACATGATGGAGGAACAGGAGCAAGCCCTATAAGTTCCATCAAACATGCAGGAGGTCCTTGGGAACTTGGACTTACGGAATCTCACCAGGTTATAATTGAGTCATGAAACTGTAATTGCAACTTATTCTTCATGAAAAGTTATTTTCCATTTGATTGTGGACTACTTTTCTTTCAGACACTTGTTGCAAATGGACTTAGAGAAAGGGTTATTCTCAGAGTTGATGGTGGATTTAGAAGTGGAGTTGATGTCATGATGGCAGCAATAATGGGTGCTGATGAATACGGGTTTGGTTCAGTGGCAATGATTGCCACTGGATGTGTTATGGCCCGCATTTGCCACACCAATAATTGTCCAGTTGGTGTTGCCAGTCAGGTTTTTAGGAAACTGATTTGTTATTTCATGCTTTTATGTACTCATGACTTGTTCAATATCTAATTTGTCATTATATTTCAGAGGGAAGAGTTGCGCGCACGCTTTCCTGGTGTTCCCGGTGATCTTGTCAACCTCTTTTTATATGTAGCTGAAGAGGTATTAAGGGACTGCTATTGATATCTTTCATGTTAAGCTTTTCCATATTTTGAAGTTACCTTATTGGTTTTAATTTTCATGTTCCACTTTGAAATTTAGATTAATCAGTGTTTCCCTCTTCCTGTTTAGAATAAATATAACTATTTTTACTATTTCTATCATTATGTGACCAGGTAAGAGGCACTTTAGCACAGCTGGGGTACGAGAAGTTAGATGATATAATTGGCCAAACAGACTTGCTGAGACCAAGAGACATATCTCTTGTGAAAACTCAGCATCTAGATCTGAGTTATATCCTCTCTGTACGTATAGCCCCCCCTCCCCCCCCTCCTCTCAGTTTTTTAAGTACCTGCTTCTCTGACTTGTATGTTGTAAAATTTTCCTTTGCAGAGTGTTGGGTTACCTAAATGGAGCAGTACAGAAATCCGGAATCAGGAGCCACATACAAATGGTCCTGTTCTGGAGGATGGTTTGCTAGCAGACGCAGAGGTAACCATATAAACAGCTATAGGTGTTGGCAATGAAAAACTATTGGTACCCTATTTGCAATACACTTTCTAAAGACTAGTTTGTAGCTGAATCATATTTAGGGCTCAAATACTAGGACTCTTTATGAACCTGTAATTAAGTATTGAAGAATATAATACAAGATAGAAGAAAAAATTGAATCTATTACTAGTTATTGAAATCTGAACAGAAAAAAAAAATGACTCTTCTCCAAGTATTATAAAACTAGCATCCCTTCCCTGCCTGTCTTCTCTAACTGCTCCTAACTAATGGCATTTACTTCCATTTTTCCTAAGACCTCGGGTTTGAGTGTGACCCATATACTCAATGCTTTAGGGTCCATTTGTAAGTTGGTTTTTGGAGAGTTGCGTCTATATCTTGAAATACGTGTAATATTTTTAAAATTTTTTAAAAACAATACACTACATTAACATATAAAATCATATTATTTTTAAATTTTTTTAAAAATATCTAACACATTTCAAGATATAGACGCAACTCTCCAAAGACTTTCCCTCCAAAAACCAACTCCCAAACGGACTCTTAAGGTTTTTTGATGTCTCGATCTCTTGGTGGTCCCGGTCACTTTCTGCTGTTTCTCCCGATACTCCCCGAACTCTTCAACATGTTGTATGAAAGCCCTAATTCAGCTTAGTACGGGAGAGGGAGTAGATCTTGGTGTATTGGATCCTTGTATCGAAAGTTTTTCTGGTGGTGTAATCAGCAGGCATGTTTTGTTAGTTGTAACGGAGGTGCAAGTATAGGATGTGGGAGACTCAATTGAGAGAGAGATTCTTGGGTTCAAGTTTGAGTAGTTAGTCCCACATCCACTATGAATGATCTAATTGTTGATATATAAGGGAGGTGACATATATCCAATGTTTTAAGGTTTTAGATGGAGATGTGGTGTCAAAAGGTCTCTTGTTAGTCTTGGATCATTGACCCGTGGTGTCAAAAGGTCTCTTGTTAGTCTTGGATCATTGACCCGTGGTTACTCTCGGGTCTTCCCCTAACTCTCCATCAAGACTACTTTGTAGTTATCTTACAAAAAGGATCAGGAATTTCCACTAGAGTTAACACTTATGGTCATTCTAAATTTACTTTATACATTAGTCTCTTCTTAGTTTATATCTAATTAAATTGGTTTTACTCATGGAATTGACGGGAATGTACCAATCATTTATGAAGCCTTCAAGCATTTCTGAGTTGACAGGTTCTGAATCTCTTGCGAAAGATGATATTTGGTAGACAACTTAGAACATGATATTTTAGAACACATCTTAGTATTTGGACTTTAAATCTTAACCGAATCCTAGAAAACTTGCTTGAAGTCGACCAAAGCAAATATTCACTCATTTTACATTGGGAGAAAGAAGTAATTTTAGATGTTAGAGGGTGTGAAACAAAAAAAAAGTAAATAGTACATGAACCAGGTTTGCTCATTTTATAAGGAATAAAAAAGCGCACAAACGGGCATGTTGTGCCTGTTTGGATGCTAGTAAGGAATACAAAATATAACCCGCATGTCAAAAAAGATTAACCCAAAAGAATAAATACATTTTTCTTGTTATTCTCTTCTGCTTGGCAAATGCTTGTTATTATTCTCTCTAGCATAATAAATAAAAAAACTATTCAAATTTTATTTCCACCCATTACTTAAAGAATGAATTGAAGAGTGAGGGGAATAGAAAATACTGGATTCCTACTAGTGTATTTCTAAATGTAATATTTATCCTTTATTTACTTGAAGTTGATTGCTAAGTTCTCTCCATTTCTTAAAGATCTAATGTGTTTTTTGACGAGTAATTCAATTTATATAAAGGTTGTTTCCTGATGAGTAATTCAATTTATATAAAGGATCATGAAGGTGCAATCTAACTTTGAAATGTTGGATGAAATAAGTCCCTACTAGGCTATCTCTAATTTCAGAAGTTGTTTTACTAACTCTCAGTAATGTTTTCAATAGAAAGAAATAATTGAAGAAAGAAAATAGTTCTATGTACTTCATTGAAATATGTCATACACAAGTCAGTGATATAAAATGCTTTTGTCCAGATTGCAGATGCCATTGAAAATGAAAAAGCAGTTAGTAAGACCGTAAATATATACAATGTTGATCGTGCTGTCTGTGGTCGTATAGCTGGTGTTATTGCAAAGAAATACGGTGATACTGGTTTTGCTGGTCAGTTGAATATAACGTAAGATGTCCTAACATGCAGTTTGAACTCTAATATCTTAAAACTGGAAGTATTTAACTGAAAGCTAACTATGTTTTTCTCCATGCTTCCAGATTTACAGGAAGTGCTGGGCAGTCATTTGGATGCTTTCTGACGCCAGGAATGAATATTCGCCTTGTAGGAGAGGCTAATGATTATGTTGGAAAGGTATTGTATTAACTCTGCTGTGGTGCGTAATTGCAAATTTCTTTTGGAAATTTATACTTAAAATATGTTACTATGATTTCCACTTATCAACTGATTAAGAGTGTGAGGCTTGTGCTATTAAATTTTGAGAGTGGTAAGAGAGTGAAGGAAGTTGTAAGAAAATCCGAGTGGAGAGAGTTCTATAGAAACTGTAATCTGAATATGTTATTTAAGTTAATAGTAAACTGTTGGAATATTCAGAATACAGTTTCTATAGAACTCTTTAATGTTCCACGTCCCTGGACCTCTTTAATGTTCCACTTCCCAAGTAGTTTAAATTCACTGTTCAACAAGAAGATTAGGTAATGCATTTCAGGGAATAGAGATAGCTTGACTACACATCTTGTAAATTACATTTGCATTTATTTTCCTTGTAATCTTTATGTATATAAAGTAGAGTTACATATCTTTTAGTTGCTATAAAATTGTGACCTAAAAAATTTCTCCTAAATTAATACACCTTTTCTAAATAAAAAACTGAGAAATAAAAAGTTCTCCTAAATTAATACACCTTTTCTAAATCCCCATAATGGATGAATTTGATATTTTTGTTTTATAACACCTGTTCTGAAAATTTTTAATTAGATAATTAAGTTGAGGCACATTTTTCTTATGTTTATTTGTGACTGCTGCTGTTAGGGCATGGCTGGAGGAGAATTGGTTGTCACTCCAGTTGACAAGACAGGGTTTCAACCCGAGGATGCAGCTATTGTGGGTAACACTTGCTTGTATGGGGCAACAGGAGGGCAGGTTTTTGTAAGAGGGAAAGCCGGGGAAAGGTTTGCTGTCAGAAACTCACTTGCTGAAGCTGTTGTTGAAGGCACAGGAGATCATTGTTGTGAGTACATGACTGGTGGCTGTGTGGTTATCCTAGGAAAGTGAGTAATATTTCTTTGTATTCTTATGCTGATGCTCATCCTCATCCTAGACCCCTCTTTCTTGGTGTAACTTTTCGTTCAAGTATTTGAAATAAGCTAATTGAGGTTTTCACACATTTTATACCTTGACAGAGTGGGAAGAAATGTAGCTGCTGGAATGACAGGAGGATTGGCTTACATTCTTGATGAGGATAATACCCTCATTCCCAAGGTATATATACCAGAACCCATTTCACTATGCCTTCTCCATTTTAAATTACAAATAGGAGGAAAATATAATAACCTTGAAAGTGATCATTGTTGTTGCTTGAAATGAAATCTTGCTAATGTTTTGTTTCTCTTTTGTCTGAGACAGATAAACAGAGAAATTGTTAAAATTCAACGAGTAACAGCGCCTGTGGGGCAGATACAGCTGAAGAAACTAATTGAAGCTCATGTTGTAAGCTCCTAATACACATTCACTATAATTTGTGCAATTATAATATAAGAAAATCACAATTTTATATAAGTTAATAATCATAATGCGCAATCATTTTTTAACCTCTCTGTATGAAGGAAAAAACGGGTAGCAACAAAGGCGATGCCATTTTGAAGGATTGGGACAAGTATTTATCACTATTTTGGCAGTTGGTTCCACCTAGTGAAGAAGATACCCCTGAGGCTAATGCCAAGTATGACATAACTTCTACAGAACAGGTCACTTTGCAGTCTGCTTAGGGAGCAATGCAAGCTTAGATTTATTGCGCCAGACTATGGGGGTCCCTTCTTTTTTAGAGATGAGGAGTTATCAAATGGGGTGTAAATTCTAACCAAATTACGGGATTAAACTTCCCATTAAAACGTCACCGGGCTTCATTCAATCTCAAGATTATATATTCCATTTTGCACCTGGAAGAGGTCTTCTCTCTTCAGACGCTTTTGTATAGCTATTTGAAATAAAAACTGTAAATAAAATACAGTTTATTCAAATCTGATAGGAGGTTTTTGTGGATGGTAAAAAGTAAATTAGCTTGGGCATGATTCTCTGTTCATCTCGGTGTCATTTGATGAAATGAAAATTATTATTCTCACTCGCAGAATCATTGAGTTCCTTCTTTGCTCTAATTCAAATGGGTGGTTGTGAAATGTACATTGCTACTTGTTCGATAAGACCCTCTAATCATTACCAAAAAATAAAATATGTTGTTGAGCATAACTGTTAAGATTGAATTGAATGCTGTATTGAATTTAGGGATTCGAGTGAATGTTTTGTAAGAAGAAATATGGACGTGATGAGTTCTTTTATTGAAATAATTTTATTTATCCTTTTTTTTCTTCACACAAACCATTTAATTCAAAAAGAAAATAAGATAGGGGATACCACCATAGTGACCATACTGAAAACGGCAGTGTTCGGGCATACCCCATCCACACAACAAGGGAGCCTATACGGTGGCCAGAAAATGTATTTTCAAATGAACACCTCTTATCATTTTTTTAATAATATGGGGTGAGTCTGAAAAATGTATTTTCGAATAAGTCTTTGTTAGAATTGTTTTAAAAAGAAAAAATCAAGTGTGTCCGGAAAGACATTTTTAGATTCACCTTTAAGATTCACCTTTAATTGATCACACGACTGATGATTATAGAAATAGAACATGTTATGAAGGAAAAAATATTGAGAAAGATAAGAAATTAAAATATACATTAAAATGTGTTAAAATGTATCAATTTTATATTGTTATTATCAATCCAATATTACATACAAAACAAACGTCATTGACTAAAATTATTCTTATGAAAATTTGTTAGATAAGAAATTAAAATGAAACAAAATATGTCATAGTCTAAATCGATATTTATGGATGGTTTACCTTTAACTTTATTTATTTGATTCTCTTTTAATTTCGCTCAATTTAGTGAATTCTTTTATCCTATCCAAAAATGCTCTAGTCAAGTTTCAGCTTTCTTTGTTAAATGAACTGTTTACTCAGGTGATGTCAGTCGTATATGACATCCTGATTTTAAATAAATTTGAATAAAATATAGTGATTTAGAAAGCCACCAAATACACATAATTTGATTGGTTGAATTTTAAGGTGAGACACTTTGAACTAGAAATAACGTTCCTAGAAACTGTATTTTATCAGATCAACATACACCCTATTATATGCACTTGTAATAAGATGACCAATTTCAAAGAATCATATCCATTTTAACTCTGATGTTGGACCGCTAACACAAAGAATAATAGGTTCGTGAAAAATAAAGTTCAATCTCACTCGATATATATTGCACTTCCAAACGCAACATTCATTTCTTTAGAACAAAACACAGATTAATGTAGGGAATATGGAAGGAAATACATGTACATTTACCTTAAATTCCAGTTTCTTTTACTCCCTTTAATGTGAAAAAATAGACAAATGATGTTTTGAAATAGAAAAGTTGATTGAGTGTGGAAGGATGTTTTGATATGGTTTGAACAAAAATGATATTTTTGATCATGAGTGAAGCAAATATGCAAAGCGGTGTTTTATTAAAAAATCTGCTTGACAAATTCGAAAATGTATTTTTGGAAGTAAACTTCTATATTTATCACCGAGTTCTTAAATGAACAAAATTATTGAATGGGTGTGTTTGGAGATGCACATTCAAACTATTTTTTTTTGAGAAAAATAGGGGTGTGTCTCACTAAAGACGCATTTTGGTGTGACTTAAGTGCGTTCGAAAATACACTTTCAAATTCGTAGGAGAATTTTAGAATTTTCTTACGACACTTCTCCACCACTTACGATGAAAAACATAACCCTAAAAATTAATTAAAACAAATTAGGAACAACAATAGATAAACACAATTGAGATAAATCTATCCCATCCCTATGGCAAAAGGGAATAGGGAATAAAGAATAGCAATCTTAAGTTTTATCCAATTTTAAATTATTTCTTTGGTTTCTACCCATGCGATTTAAGTACAAGTGGCCTCAATTTTTTCTAAATTATTTACGGGTCCATATGTTGGGGTTAGTTGAAAATATACACGTTGAGTAAGTTTCACATTGCTTAATTTTGTAAAGGAATATAGAATATAAGTAAGGCTATATAAAAGATTCAAGTTCTTCGTTACAAGATGTACTAGTAAAAAAAACTTTAAATTTGTATTTGACTTTTTATATTTTCTTTTATACTCTTGTGTTAGAGTGTTGTGAGGGGTAGCTAAATATTTTATTTGGATAATGAAAGTGTATTGGGGCTTTGGGGTAGTTTAGGTAACATGTGTTGCAACAATTTTAACACAGTGTTATCATCTAATTGTTATTTGACAACAATTATGGGTTTTCTCTAGTTTAGAAGTTTCCATGTTAATCTCTTGTATTGTTATTGTGTTCATATTTTTTTATATGCTTTGTTTTTTCCAACAAGTGGTATCAAGAGCCTTTGTTTGGTGGGATATAATTTTTTTAGTGTGTTGTGTGGTTGATTTTTTGTCTAATCTTCTACATCAGAATATTTCTATACTCTGTTGGTTGAGAAAATTTTGTTTTGCTGCTGAAAAGATTTTGCATGCACTGTCAAGTTTTTCAAGTGCAGTGAAGATTGACTTAAACAAATATGATGGAAAAAATCAATTTTGGCTTGTGAAAAAATCAAGTAAAAATATTTTGATACAATTAGGATTACACAAGGCATTGAAAGGAAACATTTTCAACGTGGACAATGAGAAGTAGGAGGAATTAGATTTGAGAGTTTCAAGCATAATCCACATGTCTTTGGTTAAAAATATTTTTGTGTATGTTCTTAGTACGTCGTCAGCCAAAGAGTTTTGGGAGAAACTTGAAGGGATATATTAAGGAAAGAGTATATTAAATCATCTGTTGCTACATGAGCAATTTCATAACTTACATATAGATGAACATGCGAAAGTATCTGATCATCTACGCGTTCTAAATAGTACTGTTTATGAATTAGAAACTATTGGAGTCAAGATTGACGATCAAGATAAAGCTTTGAGACTCATATGTTCTCCTCCATCTTCCTATGGGTGTATTAAACCTATTTTGATATATGTGAAAAAAACTTTTAGTTTTAAAGAAGTTGCTAGTAAAAATATTTCTGAAGAAAGAAGATTGAAGGGTGAGGATAATACTTCATAAAACTCAATGTTGGTTGCTAGAGGAAGGCCTTATGTGAAGAAAAACTATGAAACAAGTGTTAGATGTTGGAAATATGGAAAGATTGTAGATATAAAGTATAAGTGTCCTAATGGAACATCGTCAAAGAAAGTGCGCTGAGTCAAATACTAATAATGTCTCCCTCGCTGTGAGAAAGGACGATCTTCTCTCAAAATTATTATGTGTATCTTCATTACATTTCCACTATCATCTAAAAGGACGAGTTATTGTTAGCGGATTAACATATGAGTATTGATGTAAAGTGTGTTGTGTGATTATGTCGATGGTTGAAGAGCTTCCTACCAACATGGAAGTTGCACCATAAGTTTTCTACCTATTTTTGACATGTGAAAATTATTGAATTTGTTTAGCTTCAAGTGAAGTATAACCTTCTTTATGTGGAGTATGATAGTTCTTAAACTATGATTGTAAAAGAAGACAATGTAAAAAATTCTTGGAGTGATGTAACTTTAGTTGACTATACTTTTTATGATGGAGTATGATTGTCGGTAAAGACAATAAAAGTTAATGTATTATTTTATATCAAGGTAGAGATTGTTGGGTTCGATTGAAAATATATATGTTAAAAAAGTCCTACATCTCCTAGTTTTGTAAAGGAAGAAGGATCAAAGACTATATAAAAGATTTAAGTTCTTCGTTACAAGATGTACTAGTAAAAAATGTCAGATCTGTTCAAAACCTTGTAACTTTTATCAATATAGAAATCAAGAACATAACTTTTATACCCCAAAATTTCCCCTCACATTTTCTTCAAGATATCTTATCATGCTCCTAGGGTTTTCATTTGCTCAAGGTTACTCAAGGTTTGATCAGACAAACTCTCCTCTTAAGTAGTTGACCTATAGCTAGGGTTTTGCTTTTCTCAAGGAAAATTAAGCTTATAATGTATCAAGTATATTTCATGGTTTCTCATATGTCTCTAAGAATGCTCATGCCAAATGTCAAGCCTTGTATCACAACTTTGCTAACTTAATTGCTCATATGACTGAAAATCAACTACATTGAACAAAAAGTCAACTATGGTCAACATAAAGTCAAACTTCAAGATTTTTGGTTAACATCAAGGTTTTGAAGTCACATTCATAATTTTATCAAGGGTTGATCATGATTCATCAAGAAAACTCAAGATTCATCAAAAGTCAAAAGTTACTAAATTAGGGTTTTCTTAAGGAGAAGTCAACTGAACTTTGACCAAACACAACTTTCATAGGTTTCATTAATTTTTCTCAACCAAAGATCATTATCAATGAAATTCAATTCTATACAACTTTGTCTCTCTAATCTCAAGTCCAAAAAATACTTCATTTGAGAGATATGGGCCAAAACATTATAGGTCATTCTAAAAGTCAACGAAAAGACACTTTTTGTCAAAGCAATTTATATCAAGATAAAGTCTTCAAATAGAAAAATGACCAACATAGAGATTGTAGGGGACATCTTGATCTTTCCAAAATGTTAAAGATCACATTTAAATGATGAAAATTGAGAGAGTTATGATGGGTACAAGTTGGTCAATTTTGAGAAATTGCATGAAACCCAAAGTGA